TTAACACTATCTTCTCTGAGGCATGCTATACGTTGGGATACATTTTTGTTCAAATCTGATGTCAACTTTCTGTTTGTCTGTGCGTCTGTCCGTTTCATACATAACAATTTTCGTCGCAGTTTTCTCAGCAACTACTCACCGTAGATGCTTGAAATTTTATCACAATCTTTTCTGAGGCATGCCATATGGTGGGATACATTTTCACTAAAATCCAATGTCAACTTTCTGTTTGTCTGTCGTCTGTGCGTTTCATACATAACAAAATTTCGTCACAGTTTTCTCAGCAACTAATCATCATAGATGCTTGAAATTTTAACACAATCTTTTCTGAGGCATGCCATATGGTGGGATACATTTTTGTTTAAATCCGATGTCAACTTCCTGTTTGTCTGAGCGTCTGTCCGTTTCATCCATAACAAATTTTCGTCGCAGTTTTCTCTGCAACTATTCATCGTAGATGCTTCAAATTTTAACATAATCTTCTCTAAGGTATGCCATATGCTGGGATACATTTTTGTTCAAATCGGATATCAACTTTGTTTGTCTGTGCATCTGTCCGTTTCATACATAACAAATTTTCGTCGCACTTTTCTCATCAGCTATTCATAGCAGATGCTTGAAATTTTATTACACTCTTTGTTGAGGCATGCCATATGGTGGGATTAATTTTGATATGAATCTGATGTCAACTTTATATTTTTCTGTGCATCTGCCTGTAATTGAACTTTTGCATATTAACATGATAGTGCTTAATTAATTACATTAGAGGGGGGTATTACTAGTGAGCATTGGCTCACAGATTTCTTGTTTTTTCACAGAAATGCAAAGATAATCGTCTACACTATATTCAGGAAGCATCAAAAACTAATTCATTTAAAGTATCTCTATCTCTACAGCCAATTTTCTTTACATCATTTGATCGCAACCACTACTATGCCATTGAAAATAGGACAAAAACGGAAATTGCAGCCAAAATAGAGGAAAAGATGCAACAGCTCCTAGATTTAGACTACGATGCTGGTACGTGCAACATATATTTATGCCTTTGAAATTCAGCTCCTATCCACACGTAATTCTCGTACTTATACATGTATTTGATTTTATTATATCCAAATAAAGGAGAGGACATGAGAGTGAAATGGATGAAAGAAATCAAGAATGCTTCAAAGAAACTATACATTAAATTCTTTAAGGATCTGACAGAATTGGTGAAAAATGCACTGGATGTAATTGACGATGAAGGTACAAGTATATAAATTTTCTACCTTTTTAAGAAGTGTATTTTTTTGTTTATACGTGGAAGTTTGTCTCGTAGCTGCATCTTTAATAAAAGTATTACTTGCAGGCCCGCTCCTTTTCTTCCCCCTTTTTTAAATCATGAAAGTACAGATATTGTTTCTAGGTGTTTTAGATATTAATAGCCATTCTCTGTAACCACTTAAACTTCGTTGCCACGCATGGTCACCGATTTTGATGAAACTTCACCCATGCTTAGTACTTGACACCACAAACAAATATCAAACAAAATTTCGTTGCTATGTGTCTCGGTTGCTATGGCAACAGCCGGAAAAGTTTGAAAAATCGAGATTTTCAGCCGCTTTAAATCTTGACTGTGGCTTAATAAAAACTAGAAAAAGCAAACAAACCATTCTCACAAAAACATGACACCTTGATGTCACTTATACTGTAAAGAAACTGTTTAAATTATATCTGTAAGTAAGTGGTAACCAAGGGTACTTTTGGAATACATTTAAAATGCTGAAATATGCTGAAAAACACTCTGTATTCACTAATGGTAGGTGTTACATGCTCAAACTCAATCAACGACGTAAGAAAAACAATGAAAATGTTTGACCTTAAGTATATAAGTATAAGCAATATTATTCTATAAATAACTTTTATGGTTGCCATGGTAACACAGTGTAACCATGCAAAACCAGTAACTAAGATTGGGTTAATCCTACTGTCTTGAGGAAAAACATGAAAATTCAAGACTGGTAAATATGCATCCTTAGGACTCTGCAACACCAAAACCATAAGAAAAATTGGGAATAATTGCTACTTTGCAGTGTTACCATGGAAACAAAGTACCAGTGCTTAAAAGTGAATTATTTTTCGCTGCATTAAGAATTAAATTGCCATTTAATCAAGAAACAAATTAAAGGACTCAGCTTGAATAGTACTTATCTGTTAGAACTGAAGTTGAATATCATATATTGATAAAATTTGATGAATAAAACAACACTGTTGCTATGGTTACCAAGAAGGGAAAATGTTCGATTTTGTTAACTTTATATCAATATTAAACCCTGTGTGCCAACTTCTAGCATCCACTTAGAGATTGGGTGATAGTCAAAATTAAAAGTCAAGTTAGCTGTTAATAAATATCAATCATAAAAGTTTTGGGAATCTACATTTAAGGGTACGTATCCAAGGAAAGAAAATATTTTTCAGGTTTTTAAGCATATATTTTCTGCTTATTTCCATAGCAACGCTCTATTTAAAGAATCTAATCTGAATTTTTTCAAGTGGGAAAACTTGGAGCACACCGACATCTTATAAAATTGATCATTAGTTATGAGGAAATATGCTTTTTTTAAAAGATAGGATCAGATTTAATTATACAGAGTGTTACTTTGAAGGCTCTCTGTGGTATAAAAACCTTGGCAACCATTGCCAACCAAAATGAAATATCATATTTTGTTCTTGGTATATGTTTCAAGGCTCTTTTTTCTATTATTTGGTAACATTTCATCCTATAATTGCTTTTTATTTTTACGTGTATGACTTTATAAAATTCAATGAATATTTTTTTTTTACTTTTGAATACTTTGTTACCATAGTAACGTATGTAATAGTTGATTTACCAAACATGTTTATCATGCATTTGAGATATCTGACCTTCAACTTTTGGAAACAGTCATTGCCAGTTGTTTGCTTTGCCGCAAATGTTAACTATGGGGCTCTAAACATGTTTAAAAACTGCCATTTTTCGAACTTTAAGACATGTTGCCATGGTAACTATAAAACATAGCAACCAATTTTTGCCTGATTTCAGTTTAGGGTATCAATGACTTTTATCATAGAGAGTTTGGAGAAAAAAGATGAACTGTTTACGATATCTAGGGTGCATGTAGATCTATAGAAACAGAATGGCTGAAGACGATTCTAATATTGCTGTTTTAAATCTTCGCAATGACGAACATACGGGCAGAAATGAAGATCTTAACTCAACTGTAGACACACAAGATGATGATTATAGATCAACAGATGGGAATGACAGAGATCTGAATTTAGATTTCAATGAAAAGTATGACTTGATGGATGATAAATTCGCTTGAGCGACGAAGGTCGTGTCTCGAGCGGTTTATGACCGAGAAAATTTCAGATTTAGAAAAAAACTGAGGGAAAAGATCTCGGGGCTCAAGATCGACAAATGCAAGCCCATTCCTACGACACAAATTGAATGGTTCTGCGGTTAGAAGAGCTAATGTTCACGAGCGTTCTGGCGAGCATAGCGATGAAAATAGAAACGAAAATAGGCACTTTAGTAGAATCATAGGTTTTCCACCTAGCCGTACCCGTAATTGTAGTCCAGATTATCAAAATTATGATAAACTCAAAATGAAACCTGTTATTTGATGGAACGGGAGATTTAGAAGAGTATGTAGCACATTTTGAAATTATGACTGAAATCAATGACTGGACTTACAGCAAGAAAGCTTTATACTTAGCCACGAGTTTGTCAGGAGCAGCGCTTTAAGTACTAAACGAGTAAAAGTCAGGGGAAAGAACAGATTTAAATACTCTATTCAGAACATTGAAAGACAGATTTGGGTCAGAGAATACGGCCGAAGTTTTTAGATCTAGACTTCAGACAAAAGTATAGAGCAGAACTCAATCAATCGCCGAACTAGCACAGTCAGTAAGAAAACAAACTAGAAAAGCCTATCCAGGTGCTTCTAAAATTTTATTAGATACCCTTTCGCTCGATCTTTTCATTGAACAAAAAAAATACTATAGTTAACTATAGTTATAACTTTGACACTTTGAAAACTTTGATTTACTATAGTGATAACTTTGACACTTTGACACTTTGAAAAACTTTGGCGAAAACTTTGACACTTTGAAAAACTTTGGCGAAAACTTTGACACTTTGAAAAACTTTGACACTTTGAAAAACTTTGAGAAGATACGAAAACTTTGTTGTACTTTGTAAAAACTTTAGTCAAAACTTTTCACACTTATATAGAAAAACTTTATCGAAAATTTGACACTTTAAAAACTTTAAAAAAACTTTGAAAATTTGAAAAACTTAATCAAAACTTGGATAATCTAACACTTCGAAAAACTGTATCGAAGACTTTGACACTTTGAAAAACTTTATCGAAAACTTTGACACTTTGAAAAACTTTATTAAAACACTTTGTTATTTTACATGAAAAACTTTGGCACAAAACTTTGACTTTACTGTTGAAAAACTTTGATAAAAACTTTGAATAATGAAAAACTTTTAATATACTTTCAAGACAAATAAAAAACTTTGGCGAAAACTGTGACACTTATCAAAATAGAATTAGAATTTTCAGAGTGTAGGACTCGAGGTGAGATTAGCAACGCAAGGAAATCGTGGAAAACGGATTTCAGCGTGGTAGAACTTAATTCGACCTCAGACCAACAGCCCCAATTTTTCACAATAAACAACTTGCTTCACATTGAAGGTTTATTTCTCGACTTGTATGGCACGCCAAATTCACAAAAATGAGATAAACCTAGTTTCACATTTGATAAACTAGGTTTATCGACTGTAAAAAGTTTACACAAACTATAGTTAACGTTCGTAAAGTATAGTTAACGATTCGTTAAGTAGGTTTTCCTGTTGGCATATTTAACGGTTGTTAACTATAGTTTACAAAATTTTATTTCTGTAATAAGCGTAAACAATAGATTTTGTTGATAAACATAGATTCACGTTTGTAAATACTTTACAATGTAAACTATAGTTAAGAGTTGTTAATCATAGTTTCACAAATCGTGAAACTATATTTATCAGATCGTTAACGGTTTGTAAACTATAGTTTGTATACTGTATTTATCAGATAATCTATGTTTTGCAATCGCAAATGATTGTTTTCAGTGTTTAGTATAGTCTACAGTTGTGAAACAGATTATCGCGTTAACTATGGTTTACGGATGTAAAATATAGATTAACGTTGTTAACTATACCAACAGTCCGTAAATTTTTCACAATAAACAACTTGCTTCACAGTGAAGGTTTATTTCTCGACTTGGACAAAGAAAATGTTTCTGTTAGAATGTTCGTGAATACTGGAGCCAATCATAGTATTCTTTCAAAGAGTCTAGTTGACAAATTACAGTTGTCTGATACAAGTATCCAATCTTTGAGAAAGATCAATATCATAACAGCTACAAGAGAATCGTCTCCTTTTTTTGGTGATCTGACTCTTCCCATTGCAATAGAAAACCAACAGTTTGTACAGAGATTTCTAATAGCAAATATTCAGAATGAAGGCATACTTGAGTTAGATTTTCTCTTAGAAAGTAAATGTTCAATAAGATTGGAACCTCCAAGTCTAGAAATGAACGGTCTTCACGTCTCTTTAAATAGAGGATATGAAAAAGGGATATCATGTTGTAGAATAGTAGTTAAAGAGGCCGTGGTGATTCCACCAGAGACAGAAATTATTGTACCTGGAACAGTACTTTACAAGAATTTCCTGATAATTCTTATGGGATAGTTGAATCTTGTCCCACATTGTTAGAGAAGAAGGGTATTCTAGTAGCAAAAGCTTTAGTTTCACCGGCCAAGTCAATTTGTCCCCTGCGTGTAGCTAATTAGTCCCCTACCGGTGAAACCATAGGAGACTATAGGTTTCCTCTGCGTCTGTCCGTCCATCCGTCTGTCTGTCAGTCTGTCCTACTTGGTTTTCCGCACTTTTTTCCTACACGCTTCTATTGAGCTGAATTTTGGTATGTGAGTGTATCTTGATGAGTTACAGATCAAGTCTGAATTTCGTTTCGCTTCGTTAATTTGACAGAATTATGGCATTTTGAATTTTTCATAATGGTTTAATAACATCGGGTTCGTGCTGCGCTAAATGGTAAATATAATGTGGATTATTCTATAAGGTTAAAGGTATTCACAACCTCAAAATCAAGCAGTTTTACCTTGGACATAACTTTTGCATATTAAAAAATGACATCATAAAGAAAAAGGGGAACCCGATAAGGGACATGTATTGCTTATGCAATACTCTCAGAATGCGTGTTTTGATTGTGAACCCTGTACCCTATATAAGAACACGGTAGTGTCTACATTATATTCAGTAGATCCCCCCGGTATTGAATCTGTAGAAAATAAGAGAAGTTTGAAGAATTCACATCAAAAGTGTACATAACCAGAGTATATGAACCCTGTAGTCGAAAAATGTAGTACTCACTTGAACGGGTCATTAGTAAAACAAGTAAAACATTTGATATATGACTACTGTAAACCAACTTTTATTCGCGTGCGAGAAATTTTCTTGAAGCATCGTCATCGCGAATATTTCTCGCAACCAGTTTTTAAAGACATAAAAACAACAGTAAAACAAAATTAATCGTTGATATATGACTATATCTAGACATATTTTCAAAAGGATAAATACTGGATCTGCTGCCCCAGTGAAGCAGCATCCACGTAGATTACCGAATGTTAAAGAGAAATAGCTGAGTTGGAATTCAAGAAAATGGTAGAACAAAATATTATACATGTAGAACCTGCCTGTATCCCTTGGAACTCAAATATTGTTTTAGCAAAGACCCGAGATTTTGTCTTGATTACAGAGGTTTAAATGAAGTAACAATAAAAGATAGCCATGCTTTACCCCGTATTGACGAGACCTTAGATGCCATTAAATGGGTCCCAATGGTTTAGTACCCTCGATTTGAAATCAGATTAGTGGCAAATGCCCATAGAAAAACAAGATAGATGTAAAACTGCTTTCTCTATATTAGGGGGAGGATGTGGCAATTTAAAGTAATGCCCTTTTGCCTCACATGTACCCCCGCTACTTTTGAACGACTAATGGCGAAAATACTCAGAGGGTTGTCTTGGAAGATCTGTATGGTTTATTTTGACGATATTATAGTATTTTCAAGGTTATTTGAGAAGCATTTAGAAAATCTTAGACAAGTATTCCAGAGACTTAGAGATTCTAAGTTAAAACATTCTCCAAAGAAATGTGTTTTTTTTCAAAGACAGGTGACATTTTTAGGTCATTCATTAGCTCAGACGGCATAGCTACTGACCCTGAAAAGATTAAATGTATTAAAGAATGGCCTGTACCAAGAAATGTAAAAGTGCTCAGAAGCTTTCTCGGGCTTTGCTCCTATTATAGAAGATATGTGAAAGGATTTAGTAACATAGCTAAATGTTTACATTACAGTCTACGTAAACTTACAGAAAAAGGTATAAAATACACTTGGAATGACGTACATCAAGAGGATTGGGTGTTATGTATATAGAAAGTGAGAAAATGAAAATCCTAAAAACGTAGAGTGGTATTTAGTCCTTCCTGAAGCTTTACTGCCTATAGTCTTCGAACAGCTACATTGTTCAATAACAGATGGTCATTTGGGATCTAAGAAAACCTATGAAAAAGTAGGACAGAGATTTTTCTGGTATGGATTGAAGTCAGACATAGATCAATAACTTGTACATGTAAGAAGGCATATTTTGGAGCAGCACTCTGGCTTTGCTTATATGTGGACCGGATGCCAAATGAAATTTCCTCGACAGGATAACCACACCACCTGCACCGGTAAATACTCTTTCAATAGATGTATGGAGGTAATGCGATGGCCTGGCAGGGCAGGCAGCTGATGAGGCACTTAAGACGTATAAAGCCAAGATGGATGACCTTGTAGTTTACGTACATGGCCGACATCCTCCCCGCAAATCCACAAGTTCCCGTCCTAGAGCTGCGTTGCCTGAGGGAATTGTCTCCACCCCTCGGGCCGTATATCTCCCTCCCATAAGAGTCCATCACCACAGGTCAGCCGGTGCAGCCGGCTCAACAGCTCAAGTAGCTCTTGTAACAGCAGTGGAGGTGCTAGCCCCAAGCAGGACACCTCAGCTGAGGAGGTGCCTTCTGTTGTTGTCCCCGTACAGCCTTCCTCTTTGAAGCGATTTGACCTCATGCCAGGGCTAACTCTGTATCTAGACATTGACAAGTTCAAAAAGGATTTGTAATTTCACTGTAAATATGCAAGATAAATATTTGTATCAATAAAATTACTTGATTCCATTTCATCTCTTATTCACTTACAGGTTCGCAGAAAGGATCACTTCATTATAAACAGGGATTTGACCTATTGGACCGGGATTGGTTTTTTCTCTACAAAAATCTTGTCGATTTCCGTTCTGATTAATGGCATTAGGCTGAATACATATAACAATTTGTTTTTCCTAAATCTTTTTTTTTTCAGCGAGCAGTGGTAGGACGAACCCTTTCATTGATTTCCTGAGTTTGTTATTACAAAATATAATAATTGATATTTGTCTTAAATTTGAAGCAGATTATCAAAATCAGGTTTCCCTCTTTTTTGTAGGTTTTTTTGTGAATTCCGACCCTAGGGCAGGGTCCCCCTTAAATAAAATCCCATCTCAAATTATTCCTTACATACAAACATATTAAAATATCACAGTTTTTTTTATTTCGGGGCAGGCCTGTCCTCAAAGACTTTAAGGCCAATTTCATGCAAAAATCAACGCTTTCACTGACAAAATTGTGTTTCGGTCAACTTTGGAGGTTTATTGTAAAGTTGTAAATAAGTATACACAAGTTCAATTACAGGCAGATGCACAGAAAAATTTGAAGTTGACATCAAATTCATATCAAAATCAATCCCACCATATGGTATGCCTAAAAGAGTGTACTAGAATTAAGCATCTCCTATGAATAGTTAATGATATAACTGCGACGAAAATTTGATATGTATGAAACGGACAGCCGTACAGACAAACAGGAAGTTGACATCGGATTTAAACAAAATGTATCCCACAATAAGACATGCCTTAGGGAAGATTGTGTTAAAATTTCAAGCATCTGCGATGAGTAGTTGCTGAGAAAACTGCGACAAAAATTGTTGTATATGAAACGGACAGACGCACAGACAATAAAGGAAGTTGACATCGGATTTGAACAAAAATGTATCCCAACGTATGGCATGCCTCAGAAAAGATTGTGTTAAAATTTCAAGCATCTGTAATGAGAAGTTGCTGAGAAAACTGCAACGAAAATTTGTTATGTATGAAACGGACAGACAAACAGGCAGTTGACATTTGATTTGAAGAAAAATGTATCCCACCAATGGCATGCCTCAGAGAAGATTGTGTTAAAATTTCAAGCATCTGCGATGAGTAGTTGCCGAGAAAACTGCGACAAAAATTTGTTATGTATGAAACGGACAAACGCACAAACAAACAGGAAGTTGACATCGGATTTGAACAAAAATGTATCCCACCGTATAGCATGCCTCAGAGAAGATTGTGTTAAAATTTCAAGGATCTACATTAAGTAGTTGCTGAGAAAACTGCGGAAAATTTATAACGGACAGACAGACACACACACACAGGTAAAACAGTATCCCCCCTTCTCCTTCGGGGGTATAAATTTTAGGTATAAAATACAAATTTGAAAATTTAGACACATATACGGTAGAAAACAACAACAAGAGGCCCACGGGCCTTATAGGTCACCTGAGTATCATGTAACAACTTTCCAGTGATTGTATTTGGTTCGTGTTTTAATCCAAAAGCCATGCAATTCACAAATTTTGAAGGAGGCACCATTGCTTATCAAAGGGCAGATTTCAAAGCATTAATTTATTTTTAGTCAAAGTACCCCCCTGGTACCCCTGACCCAGCGGCCCTGAAATTATCTATTTTGAAAGAGGCCTCTTTCTTCATTATAAGGCCAGTATTTTTTTTTTATGTTTAGGTTTAGTTATGAACATGAGAATAAAAAAAGTCCCGAAGGAGAAGGAAATATAAAAAAAAAAAAGTTTGATAAATCAATAATGAACATTTGTACATTCTTTTTTTATGCTATTCTAATAGGCTCCTTACCACTGGACACATAAATAAATGCTTACAAATAGGAAAGTAGAACATTTAATTGCTTATTTCATCATCTGCCAGTTTGGGCCAATTATATATAAATTTTGTGATGTTGGTCAAAATATATTTTTAAAAAATCAATTCTTTAAAAGTCTTTCAACATTATTTTATTTTTATTTTACTATTTTATAATCATGAGTCAGAAAACACTCTCCGTGGAAAAACTGGTACTGAAAGAAATTCGCCCCTCCCCCCTTCCACGAAATAGGATTTTCGTGTTTGGGCAAAGGACATATCCCCCTTTTTTTGTTTGTCAAATTTGTTGTATGTTGGAAATTTTTTACTGTTTCCAATGTCAGTGTCTGTAAAGACAAAAATTAATACTTATGACATTAATATTGTGCATGCAGTGTCGAATTCGCGAATCATGAAAGGGGAAGTGGCAGTTTCGAGTCTGTAGGGGCCAACAGCTACATTAAAAATTGATTTATTAAACCTTATGTATATTTTAAATACAAAAAGGGAGCAGACCTATTACAACTTCTCAGACCTTTCCGATGAGTGGGAAAACAAGCCCTTTTTTACGGGGTCATTCATATACACCCCCCAAAACAAACACACAATGTACCGCAAAAAAACCCCATAATTTAACTTCACTGAATGCAAAGATTTGCATTATATCTACCACATGAATGTTTTCCAACTTTGTCTATCCAGAATTTAAATATATAGAAAGCTACTTCATTTTGAATAAAATTTTAACAACCAGTGTGTCATCTTCCTAAAGTCCAGAGGTTCTGATCCGCTCCGCTCCACATAAACCCTTTACCAAATAGACCAAGTTTGAAGGGGTTAGAAATTAATGCGTTCTCTGATTGGCCTCATGCAAGTCTGCATGAACCAATCGAAATCATTGATTTATTTAACCTAAATCTATATCGTTAACAGAATACACAGCAGTTTTAGTCCCAGGGATAACGTCTTTCTCATTAAATACCCCAGTTAAAGCACAGGTACTTGTGGACAGCCCCCCCCCCCCCCATATCGATATTCAACCCCGGGGCTTATTGCACAATTTTTTTTCAAAAATTATATTTATTACACTTATTCAACATGTATACAATATGAAAAAAAATCGTCAAAACCCGAAAACAATCGCCCAACAAAAAATACCGCACTATACAATTGTACATTATAAGGGGAAAAGTCTAGATATCAAATATTTGCCCCCCCTCCCCGTCATAAAGTCATAACCTTTTCACTAAGGAAATGTTCATTCAAGTTGATATCCTCACAATTTTTGTGAACGTAATTAATGTAGTATGTTAGTGTAAAAAATATAGGTATGAAAGATGTTGGAGTTCGAACTTATTCCCCCTCCCAAATCAAACATTTGTTCTCTTTTTGTGTTTTTGCTTCGCAAATACTTTCAAGTTCGTTAAACCCACCCACCTTTTTTCTAATTCGACAAGACTCTAGGTGAATGCTTTGTTAACGAATTTCGTAAATAAGAGACCGAGCATGACAAAATCAACTTGTATCAAATAGTGGGGGTTGAATATGTACAATATATATCGTGTTATGATAAAATTTGAGTATTTTAAGTGATTTAATCCCAAATAATATATTCCGTTTTCCGTTCCGTTTTCCGTTCCGCGTTTTAGCAACACCCGTTTAAAACCTGGGCGAGGAAAATAATTTACAGACAGATACTTTTGATACGAATACATAATTATCTCACCAGCATTTCATTGTGCAACAAAGTCGTCAGCATTTCATTTGTCCTTTGAACGGGTGAAACGTTTTGAATGGCACTCGTATCGATGAATTTTACACTAAACCAAGCTATATTTCTCAGATCTAGCTTTATTTACCCGCCGTTTCATCTTAAAACCGGAAGTGTGAGTTCGTAAATCTGAAATCTCGATCCCGACTCAAATTTGACATCGGAAAGAATTTTTTTTATATTTTCCTAAAAATTCAAAACCTTGAGCGGAGGGTTTGTTACACTGAAAATAAAATAAACCCTGGCCTTTAATATGTAATTAGATAATTAGTATATTAACCAGGAGCAAAAGGATAAGATGTTCAAAGAATTCATGCATTTCACTATATAATCATTAGAGCCCCACCCTAACACAAGAACCCCTGACCCTTGGGCCATAAAATTCACAATTTTGGTAGAGGCACTCTTGCTCATCATAACTATGTACTTAGTTAGTTTATTTAATACCCAGGAGCAGAGAAGAAGATTTTCAAAGAATTCATGTCAACCCTAGGGCAGGGGTCCCCTTAAAAAATCCTATCTCAAATATATTTTCACTATATAATCAATAGAGCCCCGCCCTAACACCAGAACCCCTGACCCTGGGGCCATAAAATTCACAATTTTGGTAGAGGCACTCTTGCTCATCATAACTATGTACTTAGTAGGTTTATTTAATATCCAGGAGCAGAAAAGAAGATTTTCAAAGAAATAATGCATTTTCACTACCTACTTATTTAGCCCCGCCCTAGCACTAGAACCCCTGACCCCAGGGTCATGAATTTCACAATTGCAAGTTTGGTAGAGGACTCATTGCTGATTACAATCATGCAAACAGTTTGACTGCTTGATTTCCAGGAGTAAAGAAGAAGATTTTTAAAGATTGCATTAATTTTAGTGGTTTTAGCCCCACCCCTCAGGCCCCAGGGGGGCAGGGATCATGAAATTCACAATTTTTGTTCCCCTTCACCCATAGATGCTTTGTGCCAAATTTGGTTGAAATTGGTTCAGTGGTTGCAGAGAAGAAGCTGAAAATGTTCAAATGTTAACGCACGACGGACTTCGACGGACGAAAACAGATAGCAATAGGTCACCTGAGTTTACTCAGGTGACCTAAAAAGATTTATTTTTAAATGTCACTTTTCCGGGAAATTGTTCTTTCCTACAGGTCAATTCTTTTGTCAAAGGGAATACATCCTTTAATAATGAATGTAAGAGAATCATAGTTAGTAATGATGAAAAGTACCATAGCAGACTTTCTTTTTACACCAGAGTTTGAAGACCAAAGCCTGAGTAGG